AGGAGGTCGGATGCAATACCTCATCAAATGGAAAGGCTATGGGCCAGAGGAGAACTCATGGGAACCAGCCCAAAACGTCCACGCTCCCAGATTGATTCAAGAGTTTTTCCGCAACCACCCACAGAGGAGAGATCAGTTGGGCATCCGGAGGCTGCCCGTAGGGGGGGGGCAATGTCAGGGATCGCGGCGGCGCACGGGTCTGCACATGCGCAGAATGCCGATGCGCACTAGCCAGCAGGCACTAGGGCATAGGCAACCGCGGCAAGAGCGGAGGCCGCACATGCGCACTCTCGATCGTGGACACGCACCTGGCACCAATGATAGCACAGGGCGCACTATTTAAACCAGCCCTGTGCATCCCCAAATTGCCGTATGGTCTTGTTCCTGTGTTCCTGCTCATTTCTGTCCAGTGATTGCCTTGTTGCCGACCAGCCTGACCCTGATCCTGTTGACCATCTCCTGCTCTGACCTTTGGCTCGTCCTGACCATTCTCTGCCTGATCCTGATTGTCTGATCTCCTGTTGCTGAACCTGGCCTGTGACCCGTTTTATCCTTTTGCCTGCCGCTCTGTACCGTCTGCCTCCGCTGTTACCGACCTGGCCTGTCTGACTACGCTATCACCTCTTCACATCTGGCTCTCACCTGCCACTTGCCACTGGCAACTACCTCTACCACAGCTGGTTGTACTCGGGGGTCGCGACCTGGTCTCAGGCTGCTTCAAGTTCATCCCCACCATCAGGGGCTCTGGTGAACCAACAGACTGAGGTTTAGACTCCGCGCCCTGAGGAATTCTGGCCTCTGGGTCGCTAGAGGCTACCGCCAGTTGGCTCCTGACAGTATCTTATGTCTCAGATTTTTCACACATCTCTCCAGAACGTCAACTCCCTGTCACAACAGCCAAAGTACTCAAAGTCTCTTCTCTGCACCTACTGTACTTCAGGATGATTTGCCCCTATATCCTCCAATACATCAGACTGCAGCATCTCAGCTTGTCGCAGACACTGGTGTGTATTTAATAGACCGTCCATCATACTTTGGCACCAACAGAGTTCCTCCTAGCAAACGCACTACTGTACAAACCAACATGCCAATAGACTCTAAGCCAGCTCCGGCATTGAATGCCTTAGCAGCAACAAATGTTCCCAAGTCACTTCACGTAAGTCCACCAACCGTCACAACCAACTCTGTTCCACCTGCAGTCATGCACCCAAAATATGAAAACACGGACATGTCACAGTTTGCTAAATACATGCTCCGCAGAGAGCTTGTTAAGACAGGCCTCACCAAGTTTGATGACAAGCCTGAAAAATGACAGAGGCTGGAAATCCACTTTTAAGGCCACAATGAGTGACCTAGACATCAATGCCACAGAGGAATTAGATCTACTCATCAGATGGCTAGGTCCCCAGTCTACTGAACGCATCAAGAGACTCAAAGCAGTTCATATTGACAACCCTGCTGCAGGCCTTAATGCTGCTTGGGGCAGACTTGAACACTGTACCTTTGGCAGCCCAGAGGCCATTGAAGATGCTTTATTCTTAGACCCATCTCCTTGTTGCCCTTCACTTCCAAGCTCCTTGAGCGCCTGGCCTACAATCGCCTAAGTGCCCACCTCACTGATAACAACCTCCTTGACCCCCTACAGTCTGGTTCTGTCCCCTGCACTCCACCGAAACCGCCCTACTTAAAATCACCAACAACCTGCTAACCGCCAAAGCCAATGGCCACTATTCTATCCTCCTGCTCCTCGACCTCTCTGCCGCCTTCGACACTGTTGACCACCTCTCCTCCTTGCCAAACTGCACTCCCTTGGCATCAAGGACGCTGCTCTCTCCTGGTTCTCCTCCTACCTTTCCCAACGCTCCTTCAGCATCACCTACAACATTGCCACCTCCCCCTCCCTCCCCCCCTCTGTCGGGGTCCCCCAAGGCTCTGTCCTTGGGCCCCTCCTCTTCTCCATCTATACCTCCTCCCTTGGCAAACTTATTCACTCCAACGGCTTCAATTACCACCTCTATGCCGACGACACCCAAATTTACCTCTCCACCCCCCACCTCACCCCCTCACTCTCTGCCCTGCATCGCCCACCTCCTAAACGACATATCAGACTTGATGTCGCTCCATTTTCTCACACTTAACTTATCCAAAACCGAGCTCCTGGTCTTCCCCCCACCCTGTGCCCCCCCCCCATCCTCTCCATCACTACTAACAACGCCACCATCTCTCCCACCCCACACGCCAAAGTCCTGGGTGTCACCCTGGACTCCCACCTCTCCTTCCTACCCCACATCCAACTGCTATCTAGATCTTGCAGGCTCCACCTCCGCAACATCTCCAAGATACGCACATTCCTCACCCCAGACACCACCACAAACAACTCGTACACTCCCTCATCATCTCATGCCTGGACTACTGCAACTCCCTCCTCACTGGCCTCCCTCATCATCTCACGCCTGGACTACTGCAACTCCCTCCTCACCGGCCTCCCTCATCATCTCACGCCTGGACTACTGCAACTCCCTCCTCACTGGCCTCCCTCCTCATCTCAAGCCTGGACTACTGCAACTCCCTCCACACTGGCCTCCCTCATCATCTCACCTGGACTACTGCAACTCCCTCCTCACCGGCCTCCCTCATCATCTCACGTCTGGACTATTGCAATTCCCTTCTCACTGGCCGTACCCAAACGAATGCTATCCCCACTCCAGTCTATCCTGAACTCAGCAGCCAGACTCATCCACCTCACCAACCGCTCCACATCTGCCTATCCCCTCTGCCATTCCCTTCATTGGCTCCCGATTGCCCAACGCATCAAATTCAAACTGCTAACTCTGACCTACAAAGCCATTCACAATGCGCCCCAAACTACATAACTGACTTGATACCCAAATACTACCCTACCCGTGCCCTCCGCTCCTCACAGGACCTCCTACTCTCTAGCTCCCTGGTCTCCTCCTCCCACGCCCGATTGCAGGACTTCTCCAGGAATTTCCCCATCCTCTGGAACTCCCTACCCCAATCCATCAGACTGTCACCAATCCTCCTCACCTTCAGGCACACCCTGAAAACCCTCCTCTTCAGGGAAGCCTACCCCAACCTCACCTAACACCCGACCTCACCTAACAACTAACCTCCTCCACTCCTCCCACCACTCCATCCCCCACAGCCATCTCCTCCTGTACCACCTTCCCCTCCCTCCTAGATTATAAGCTCGAAAGAGCAGGGCCCTCGAACCCCTCGTGTATTGTATTGTTACTGTCTTGTCTCATGTTCTGTCCCCCTTGCTACTGTACAGCGCTGAGCATGCCCTTTGGCGCTATATAAATACTGTATAATAATAATAATAATATTCAAAAGGTTGCAAAGCTCCCCAAGGATTTCTGCTAGCGACAATCTAAAGTTTCAAGAACTCAGCGATGTTCTATTAGAGCTTCAACTTGCTAAGGCTAACATCAACTTACCTGGTCTCAGTTACCTTGCCACCTCTCATGGCATCAAATCTATTGTTCTCAAGCTACCATATGGAATTCAAGAAAGATGGGCAGCGCTTGGATCAAAGTATAAGGATGAACATAGAGTTGCCTTTTCACCTTTTTCCTACTTCTGTGAGTTCATCAAAAGAATTGCAGACACTAAGAATGACCCAAGTTTCTCATATGGGGACTGTAGCCTTCTCCGTACACTCTCTCCAAGACCTACGAACACACGTATGTCGCACAGAGACCATAGAGGTCCAGCATTAGTGAAAAGGACTAATTTTCTACCTGCACCTGCTACAGTTCTTGAAAAGACTGATCAAAACAAGAGAATTGAGGACCCAAATCGCCAGTGCCCAGTACATAACAAACCAAATCCACTTAAGAAATGTATCGGCTTCAGAAAGAAAACCCTCCAAGAATGTAAGGAACTTTTGAAGAAATGTTGGGTTTGCTACAAATGCTGTGCCTCCACAGAACACCTTGCAAAGGACTGTAAAGCGATCATCAAATGTATAGAGTATGACAGTGATGACCATGTGCAAGCTCTTCATCAATATTTGCACACCTCTACTACACTCACAAACAAACTTCCTGAGGCAAAGCAAGGTGGGGAGCACCCAGATCAAGCAGCACCTACCACCCCAGTGTTCTCTACATGTACAGAGGAGACGGATTCTGAGACAACTCCTCTGCAAAGATATGCTTGGTCCGTGTATACCCCAAAGGTCAACCTGAAAAGGCCATAAGACTGTATACTATTCTGGATGATCAGAGTAACAGATCTCTTGCAAGAAACAGTTTTTTGAACTGTTGAACATAACTGGAGATGCTCTGCCTTATACTCTAAGCACTTGTTCCGGTACTACAGAAGTCTTAGGTAGGAGAGCCAGAGTCTTGTAGTTGCTCCTCTGAAGGACAATGTGGAAATATCTTTGCCCACTATCACTGAGTGCAATCAGATTCCAAGCATCAAAGAAGAGATCCCTACTTCTGAAGCTGCTTTCCACCATTCTCACTTAAAGCACATAGCCAACCAAATACCAGCCCTCGATGAAAGTGTCAATATCCTGCTGTTACTTGGTCGAGACATCCTAAGGGTGCACAAAGTTTGTCATCAAATCAGTGGTCCACACAATGCACCATATGCTCAGCGTCTGGATCTAAGATGGGTCATCATAGGCAATGTCTGCCTAGACCAGGGGTGTCCAAACTTTTTTGGAAGAGTGCCAGATTTGATGAAGTGAACATGTGCGAGGGCCAACCATTTTGCCCGACATTCTGATGAACCATTAACATTAAATGCAAATGAACTATTTTATGCAAAAGTTTATTGAAAACGGCATACTTTTCATTTTGTGACTTGGATGACAAATCTAAACAGGTGTTAAATCACTCTGCCAGCACAGGGAGAAGGAAAGCCCAAATCTCGCGAGATCTCGGAGGTCGCGAGATTTGGGCTTTGTTTCTCCTTGCACTGTCTGATTACGTCAAGCGATCCTGAGCACCAATCCATTATAGCCCAAATTGATACCGTATTTTTCGCTCCATAAGACGCACCTACGGTTTTAGAGGCGAAAAACAGGAAAAAAAATTCTGAACCAATGGACTGCAGACATAGTACAGGAGATGACCAGAGACTGCGGACACAGTACAGGAGATGACCAGAGACTGAGGACACAGTACAGATGGGATGCGGACAGTACAGGAGATGACCGGAGACTGCGGACACAGTACAGGAGATGGCCAGAGACTACGGACACAGTACAGATGACCAGAGACTGGGGACACAGTACAGAGATGACCAGAGACTGCGGACACAGTACAGGAGATGACCGGAGACTGCGGACACAGTACAGGAGATGGCCAGAGACTGCGGACACAGTACAGGAGATGGCCAGAGACTGCGGACACAGTACAGGAGATGGCCAGAGACTGCGGACACAGTACAGGAGATGACCAGAGACTGCGGACACAGTACAGGAGATGACCGGAGACTGCGGACACAGTACAGGAGATGACCGGAGACTGCGGACACAGTACAGGAGATGACCAGAGACTGCGGACACAGTACAGGAGATGACCAGAGATGACAGGAGATGCCCGGAGACTGCGGACATGGTAGAGGGGATGACCGGAGACTGCGGACACGGTACAGGAGATGACCGGAGACTGCGGACACGGTACAGGAGATGCCCGGAGACTGCGGACACGGTACAGGAGATGACCAGAGACTGCGGACACGGTACAGGAGATGACCGGAGACTGCGGACACAGTACAGGAGATGGCCAGAGACTGCGGACACAGTACAGGAGATGACCAGAGACTGCGGACACAGTACAGGAGATGACCGGAGACTGCGGACACAGTACAGGAGATGACCAGAGACTGCGGACACAGTACAGGAGATGACCAGAGACTGCGGACAGTACAGGAGATGACCGGAGACTGCGGACATGGTAGAGGGGATGACCGGAGACTGCGGACACGGTACAGGAGATGACCGGAGACTGCGGACACGGTACAGGAGATGATGCCCGGAGACTGCGGACACGGTACAGGAGATGACCGGAGACTGCGGACACGGTACAGGAGATGACCGGAGACTGCGGACAGTACAGAAGATGACCGGAGACTGCGGACAGTACAGGAGATGACCGGAGACTGCGGACACGGTACGGTACACTGGAGATGACCGAGAGACTGCGGACACAGTACAGGAGATGACCAGAGACTGCAGACATAGTAAATAATGGTAAATGGTAGCCCCAGTAGTAATTCCCTGCGCACCACCTGGGATCCCTCGGCCCACGTTCCGGACCCCACAGATGAGCTGCCCAATATATAACTTACGGCCCTCCACTAGTGATTCTGCGAATGCCACTGAGGGCTCCAGGGATCTGTCGAGCGGGAATTGACGTCATCAGCCGGCACACAGAGAAGGAAAGCCCAAATCTCATGAGATCTCGGACGTCGCGAGATTTGGGCTCTCCTTCCTGCGCCAGCTGATGATGTCAAGAGATCGCTGGAGTCCTCAGTAGCTTTCAGGGAATCACTACTGGGGGCCGTAAGTTATATATTTAGGTAGCTCACCTGTGGGGCCGTTTCAGTCCGGAACGCGGGCCGCAATTGGCCCGCGGGCCGGACTTTGGACATGCCTGGCCTAGACAAAGACAAGAGGTCCTACTCAGTCGCTTCCTGTAGCCTCCCTGGCGGTTTTCCCGAGTGTAGCTCGGGGTAAAGTTTCAGTACCACAATACCACAAGCGGTAACCCTGAGCTACACTTGGGCTTACCATGCAGCGCTGCTCCAAGATATTCCAATGGTACCGCAATAATGATGTCCACGATGAAGTCATAGACTCTCGAATGAAGGTACATGTTTTCAGTAACGGTCCTTCTCCTGCAGTAACAATTTATGAACTGAATAAAACAGCTCAAGAGGGTGAGAAAGAATTTGGATCTGATGCAAGACATTTAGATTATGGATTAAACTTCACAAGATCTAAAAGATGTCATTCTCATTGAGTCACTGACTGTGGTGTCCAACAGAGGTTGAAGTTATCATTATCTTCATCACAGCTGTAAGTTACAGAGATCACACTATCAATGCTTAGATTGGAGAGACAGAACATACAATGTATAATAGAATGTATATAATGATACAATGTATAATAGAATGTATACAATGATACAATGTATAGCGGAATGTATATAACGATACAATGTATAATAGGATGTATATAATGATACAATGTATAATAGGATGTATATAATGATACAATGTATAATAGATGTATACAATGATACAATGTATAGCGGAATGTATATAATGATACAATGTATAATAGGATGCATATAATGATATAATGTATAATGAAATGCATATAATGATACAATGTATAATGGAATGTATATAATGATACAATGTATAATAGGATGTATATAATGATACAATGTATAATGGGATGTATATACAATGATACAATGTATAATGGGATGTATACAATCATACAATGTATAATGGAATGTATACAATGATACAATGTATAATGGAATGTGTATAATCATACAATGTATAATAGGATGTATATAATGATACAATGTATAATGGAATGTGTATAATGATACACTGTATCTCTATCCTCCATTCATACAGAAAAAAAAACAAGGGGGTCAGGTTGTATAGTGATCATTATAGATCGGGACCCTGGGATCTCAGTGACACCCCGGTCTTTGTGTTGGAAGTATACTGTGCGGGCCGCTCCCAGCACAATGACAGGTACACAAATATGTGGCCCCACGGAAAAAAGCCCAATTCTGTGAAGCTGCATATTTTTGTGACGTGGTCATCAAGGGGTTAAGGTGGTGACGGTGGTGGAGGGGGGGTCATTTTGTGAATGAATTGTTGTGATTGGTGACTTCGCTGCTGATCATATCTATTCAATTCTTCGATAGAGTCAGGAGAAGCGCTCTGATATTAGTCCATGGTGGCTGACGTGACCCTTATCTGATAGCAGAGTGGGAAATGCAGCCGACATAAGGCATACCGACCTGGCCAATCCTGTGCCGCCATATGCCTTATGTAACTGGATGCTAAATGGTTGAAGAAAATTTGGAAATGTAATATGAAATATTTTTGCTTATGACCATTTAATATTTCCCTATGGAAAGCAGACGATGAGTGAGGAAACAACACAGAGAAACACATTTATAAAGTAGTGGTTGTGACTTTCAAACTTTCACTGGAGGTGAATCAACCTCTGTCATTTAAAACACATGCAACTCAGAGACTCACCTGCAGTGAATGTTTGGTGAATGCAAGATTCAACGCTTCATAAATACACCCTTAAATTTTCATCAGACAAATTTACTGCTGCGCTGTGAAAAGCCTTTATTGTCAATAGACCTGAACAGTAGGATATCATACAAAAAAGCTTTTGCATGACAACACATTTCCCTCCCTCTTTCCTGGCAGAATATGGATCATCTGGATTTTCCGTCTACTGTCTATAAGGACATGACATGGCTATTTATTAGAAATTCCCAGCATGGCGGCCTGAAGACAAAATATGGTGGAAACCATGTGTATTACATTTACAGTATATTAGCGAAACACAGACTTTAATCTAATAATGGGGTCATATCAATCATCAGAAATCACACCGAGTGTGGCACACAGATTGAGTGGAGATAATTCACCTTTATGTTGGCGTGGATGTGGAGGTAGAGGCACAATGTATCACATATGGTGGGAGTGTTCTAAAATACAAGAATATTAGGGAAATAGTAAGCTTGATTCAGAAAATGACAGAGGTTGATGTTCTAGTAGACCCAGAGATTTGCCTGTTTCATAGTACTGAGCTTTCAGTTAAAAAATACCCAAACACTTATAATTCATTTCTACCTCCTGCATATTTATATTTCCGTGGATTATTCTGTACATTTTCCTCTGTTTTTCCGCATCTATTGTTATTCCTATTTCTCTTTCCCATTTTTCTATATATGGAGGATTTATATCTGTTTATTTCAGTGAGAATCTTATATATTTTAGAGGTTCTGTGTTTCCCTTCTCCCCGTGTACCTATCAAGTGCTCAAAAGGATTCCAATCCTCTCTTTTTCTTAAAGACTTTGGAAGCTTTCCTATAAAGTGTTTCAATTGAAAATAACGCCACTCATCCATTCTCAAAAAACTTCTCTCTTTTTTTTTTTTTTTCCAATTCCTTAAGTGATCCTATTTCCTCCCCCACCATTATATCCCTTAATTGTGCATCTTCCTTCTTAATCCACTTCCCTGTGATACCTTCTTTACCCGGGGGGGAGTGACTTTTGGGGGTGGGGGGACCTCTGTATCATCTTCCCAAATTCCCATTATGTTTAAGGCACCCTGTGCCTGTTAAGGGGTACAAGGTGTGTATGTGAATGTCTTGTGTATAGTGTGTGTTCCTTTGTTCTCGGCCACATGGCTGTCCATTGTCTGTTTGCCATGTGCTACCCCCCATTGTGCTGTGTCTTCCTGTCCAGCCAACTATTATGGGATGTACTGTTTGTGTATTGGTGTGGGGGTTGGTCAATGTCCTTTGCCATGTGCTTCATCCCATTGTTCTGTGTCTTGGTGGGATGGGGAGGGGTGATGATGTATTTCCTGTTCCTGGTTGTCTTTCCCCGCCCTCTGTATAAAACATGTTGTTTGTTTAAATAAAGTAGAGTTGGCATTTTGTTTCCATTTAGGATACAGTATGTTTTTATTCGGAAAACAGATACAATGTTTCAACCGCTGTAAATGTGGGAAAAGTCAGAGAACTGTCAAAATAGCGGAGCTCTGCAGATACTAACACACTTTTTGCCGGTTTGGAATTCTTCTTATTTTCATCCTACTTCTTCTTCTTCTTCTTCTTCTTCATCCTCATCCTCAGAAGAAGAAGAAGAGGATGAGGATGAGGATGAAGAAGAAGAAGAAGAAAGAAGTAGGATGAAAATAAGAATAATTCCAAGCCGGCAAAAAAGTGTATCTGCAGAGCTCCTCTAAGTGTATCTGCAGAATAGAGGAGCTTACTCTGCAGATACACTTTTTTGCCGGCTTGGAATTCTTCTTATTTTCATCCTACTTCTTCTTCTTCTTCTTCCTCTTCATCCTCATCCTCATCCTCTTCTTCTTCTTCTGAGGATGAGGATGAAGAAGAAGAAGAAGTAGGATGAAAAATAAGAAGAATTCCAAGCCGGCAAAAAAGTGTATTCTGCAGAGCTCCTCTATTCTGCAGATACACTTAGAGGAGCTCTGCAGATACACTTTTTGCCGGCTTGGAAATTCTTCTTATTTTCATCCTACTTCTTCTTCTTCATCCTCATCCTCATTCTCAGAAGAGGAAGAAGAGGATGAGGATGAAGAAGAAGAAGAAGTAGGATGAAAATAAGAAAAAATTCCAAGCCGGCAAAAAGTTGTACTCTGCAGAGCTCCGCTAAGTTTATCTGCAGAGCTCCGCTAAGAAAATAGCGGAGCTCTGCAGATGCGCGGCTTGAATTACACACCTTTTCTCATCCTTCTTCTTCTTCTCATCCTTCTTCTTCTTCTCATCCTCTTCTCCTATTTCTATCTCATCCTTCTCCTTCTTTCTCATCCTTCTCCTTCTACTCATCCTTCTCCTTCTTCTCATCCTTCTTCTCATCCTTCTCCTTCTTCCTCATCCTTCTTCTCATCCTTCCTTTCATCCTTCTCCTTCTTCTCATCCTTTCTCTTCTCATCCTTCTTCTCATCCTTCTCCTTCTCCTTCTTCTCATCCTTCTCCTTTCTCATCCTTCTTCTCATCCTTCTTCTCATCCTTCTCCTTCTTCTCATCCTTCTTCTCATCCTTCTCCTTCTTCTCATCCTTCTCCTTCTTTCTAATCCTTCTTCTTCTTCTCATCCTTCTTCTTCTCATCCTTCTCCTTCTTCTCATCCTTCTCCTTCTTCTCATCCTTCTCCTTCTTCTCATCCTTAATCTTCCTTCTTCTCATCTTTCTCTCCTTCTCCTTCTTCTCATCCTTCTCCATTCTCCTTCTTCTCATCGCTTCTCCTTCTCCATCTTCTCATCCCTTCTCCTTCTCCTTCTTCTCATCCTTCTCCTTCTCCTTCTTCTCAATCCTTCTCCCTTCTTCTCATCCTTCACCTTCTCCTTCTTCTCACCTTCTCCTTCTTGCCATCTTCTCATCCTTCTCCTTCTTCTCATCCTTCTCCTTCTCCTTCTTCTCATGCCTACAAACTCCTTCTTCTCATCCCCTTCTCCTTCATCCTTCTTCTCATCCTTCTCCTTCTCCTGTCTCCTTCTTCTCATCCTTCTCCTTCTTCTCATCCTCTCCTTCTTCTCATATCCTTCTCCTCCTTCTTCTCATCCTTTCTCCTTCTCCTTCTTCTCATCCTTCTCCTTTCTCCTTCTTTTTCATCCTTCTCCTTCTTCTCATCCTTCTCCTTCTCCATCTATTCTCATCCTTCTCCATCTCCTTCTTCCTCATCCTTCTCCTTCTCCTTCTTCTCATCCTTCTCCTTCTTCTCATCCTTCACCTTCTCCTTCTTCTTATCCTTCTCCTTCTTCTCATCCTTCTCCTTCTCCTTCTCCTTCTCCTTCCTCATCTCAAGGGGCATTTTAAATTAAAGGTACCAGTTTGGTTCTGCACTAATTTAAAGGCTCTCTGAAGCCTAGAAGAAACCCATTTTTTATAAGTTAACTTCGTACGCGCGATAATAAATTCCCGCATCGAATCAAATTTCTTCCTCAAATTCGTGGCGAATCAGCCGAATCGAATTTTTGAATAATTCGCTCATCTCTAGTGTGGTCCGTGGATGGTGTTCGGACAGGGGGAAGCTGTGGTATAACGTAAAAACTCAGTTCGGTCTGGGTTCCGGTTCCGTTACAAAGGGCATTAACAATTAATTAAAATTCCCATCCCATACTGTTTGACGTAAAGCATCCCAAACTCTTAAAACATTGAAATCGGTGAAACAAACTCTGTACTGTCTGCTAAGCCTCTGTATTGTGGATGGTAAACCATACAATTCCACTTAATTTAGTATTACTTAGTATATTTTCTATTTTAACCCATCTATTTTTCCCCTCTCTGCATTTATATGTCCAGTCAAAAATTCTTTCCAATATTACAAGAGTTATATCTTTTTAAATCTGGGACTCCCAATCCGCCACCCGAACCCCAATTACTGTTCGAACCTGCCAGCCCAATCTCTGTACAAATCCCCAGCCAACCCCTCTGTACAAGTATACCATGTCCACCCACCGGCCACCCCTCTGAGTCCATAAAATGTATACCACGTCCACCGCCACCCCTCTGGCCAAGTATAATATGTCCTCAAGCGGGGGTGCCACCCCTCTGTCCAACCGGCTCCCAATAATACAACAATCTACCCCAAACCCCTCTGTCCAAAATATACCACATCCACAGCACACCCCCTCTGTTCACCTCTTTCTCTTTATTTCTACATAAAACGTCTTGGCTATAAATTCTCGGTTTTTTATTCCTCCAAATAAATCTTATTAACATTTTTTTAAATTGATCTAAAGTATACTTCTGGGTAGTTTAAATAGTATCATTTGAAATTTATATAATATTTTGGAACAATCACCATTTTCATCAAATTCATTACGACCTATCTGTCAGGGATCCGGATATGACCAGAAATGTTGTGGACTGACATCAGGGAAGTAGCAGGCTTCAGGAACACAGGCGTAGTCAGGGGTTTGGAGAGGTGGAATGGTCAGGCAGGCCGTGAAAGGTACTGTCAGGCACCGCCAGCCTGGCGGGATCTCTTAGTGACACACAGAACAGGGTTTCCCAGGGCGCGGAGTCTAATGCCCCAGTCTGCCTATTTCACCAGAGGCCCCTGATGGTGCGGGATGGACTTGGCGCAGGACTGAGACCAGGTCGCGTGACCCTGAGTGCACCCAACTGTGGTAGAGGGATCCGCCGAGGGTATGTACCCTGGGGAAAGCCTGATGTGAAGGGGCTGGCAGGTTTGCGGACAGTAGTGACTGTGATCCGTGCGGGATGGAGTGATGACAGTATGGAGTGTAGCGTATGTCAGACAAGCTGGGTCGGTAACGGTGGAGGCAGATCAGTACAGAGCAGCAGGCAAAGAGTAAATGAGGTCACGGAGCCAAGGTACAGCAACAGGAGGTTTTCAAACAGCATATGTGAGTAGTGCAGAAGAATATAGTCAGGGACGAGCAGAAATGTTCAGTCAGAGCAGGATGAGATGGTCAACAGGAATCAGGATCGCAGGCAGGGTGGGCAAACAAGGTAACTCCTATTAGGAACAGATGCACAGGAAACTAGGAACAAGAATACAGGGGCTCATGGGAAACATACACCAAGGCACTGATCACAAAGCCTGGTCCTGCTTAAATACACTTCCTCCTGCATGGACCTTCAGACTCAGGTGCGATTCTGGCCTGATTGCAGGTGTGAGATTCAGGAGACCTGCTGAGAGCACCCTCTGGCCAGCCCTTGGTACTGCAGCCCACAAGGCAGGTGAGTCCCACCACCACTGGCAAGTCCATTCCTGACACTATCCATGATGGGGTTCCCCCTCCTAATTTCCTTTAGTTCATCCCTGATCTCATTTAACAATTGGCATATAATTCAATTTTATAACAAGTTCTTGGAGGATACAAGGTTAATTTTATTCCTAGATATTCGATTCTTTGACTCTTAAAACAAAGGAAAAAAATTTCCCTTTTGTAAACCCATTTTTCTCCTAATTAAAAAAAAATTTTAAAAAATTTAATTTTAAGTTTAGAAATATTTTTGTTTTTGTTTGGGGGAAAAATTTTTTAAAATTTTACATCTCCCCATATTCCCTTTTAGTGATTTTTATTAAATTTTTGGGAAAAGTTATCCTTGGGTTTTTCCCCCAAAAGAAAAAGCATGTCATTCTGCCACTTTTGCCCGTTCTCCTATTTCCCCGTGGTCGGCAACCGCGGCTTGCGAGCCACATGGGCTCCCTTTTCACGCTTTAAGCGGGGTCTTGGGGGCCGGGCGCCCCTCCCCTTCCCCCCTCCCCCTGGGGGCAAGGGGGCCCGCAGCGTTGATCCCCCAAAAAAAAAAGCCAGGGGAAACGGGGGGCCCCAAATGCAAGATTGGCCAGTTTTTGCTGCCACTTTTTCCCTCCCCGAAAAAAAGCCAGTGATTGGGGTGTCAGGATGTGTGTAGGGGCCCGGGGGAGCTGGGCGAATTGGAAGGGGGCAGGCTCCCCCACAGTCCGCCCCGAAAGACCGGAAACGGGCCAGGGGGAAAAACGGCGAGAGGAACGCGGGAGCAAAGGGTAAGTGAATTGACAAGGGGGGGAAATTGGGGTTACACTTGTACTTAAATTTCTACTACTATTAAAAGAGGGATGAATTAAAAATGGGGGGATGAAATTACTTTTGGGGGGGATGATTACTTTTGGGGGGAAAGAAAATTTTATGGGGGATGAAATTTTCTATGGGGGAAGAATTACTTTTGGGGGAAAGTTTACATATGGGGGGAAAAGGGGAAATTTCTATATGGGGATGAATTACTATTTGGGGGATGAAATTCTTTTGGGGGGGTGAATTTCTATGGGGGATAATTACATGGGGGAGAATTACTATATGGGGGGAAAGTAAATTTCTTTTATGGGGGATGGGAAAATTTTCTATTTTTGAGGGATGAATTTTAAAATGGGGGATGAATTACTATGGGGGGTGAAATTACTTTAGGGGGGGATGGAATTTCTATTTTGGGGGGATGAATTACTATTGGGGGGGAATTACTATGGGGGATGAATTAAATATAGTTTTTGGGGGATTAAATTTCTTTATGGGGGATGAAAAAAATTCCCTTTTGGGGGCTATTAAATTTTAAAAAAGGGGGTTGAATTACTATGGGGGTGAATTAAATATAGGGGGGGAACCATTATAAATTTCTATATGGGGGGATGAATTACTATGGGGGGCGGGGGATTTTAAATTTCTATAAGGGGGGTGAATTACTATGGGGGGGATTAAATTTCTTTTTGGGGGATGAAATTTTTTATGGGGGATGTAACTTTTTTTACTATATGGGGGGGTGAAATTTCTTTTTTAACTTTGGGGGATGAATTACAAATTTAAAGGGGGATGGGGTTACTTTTAAAATGGGGGAAATTTTAATTACTATATGGGGGGAAAAATATTTTAAACTTTTGGGGGGAAAAAATTTTAAATTTCTATGGGGGGTGAATTACTATAAAAACTTATTGAAACTAAAAACAGGGGTACCCTTTCCCATGTATTTTTTAGTTTTAAAAAAGTGGCTCTCAAATAAAATTTTCCCAATTCGTGGTTTTGGGCGAGTTTTGGCTCCTTTAAAAAAAAAAATTTTTGCCCCCACGCCCCTATCCAAAAACCCTTTTTATATCTATTTTAAATTTCTTATTGTAGCCTAAAAAAATTTTCCAATGATAAAACATAACAATGGAAAAAAAGGGGAAACCCCTTCCCTAGTTTCCGTTTCTGCACCCCAAAAATACTCGGAAAAATTCCCCCCCATTACCAAAATTGCGGGCAGAGGGTTGACTAAATAATTTCCTTTTTCCACTCCTCAATCTAAGATCCCATCCTCAATATTTCCCAATTACCAAAAAATTTTAACCCCTTTCTACTCTTTTCAAATGCCTTTTTCAGCATCGATAGAGAGAAACCAAACCCGCGGGGTTTTTCCCTTTTTTCCTATTTTTTTTTGTATAAAGAAACAGAGACCCAGTCCGTTATCTCTCCCCCTCTTTTCCCGGGGAAAAAAGCCTATTTGGGCCCTTTTGGTACCCATCCCGACTTTAGGCCTTTTAAACCCTTTTATTTTTTAGTACTAAAAAAATTTTTTTAAAATTTTTTTTATAATACCTCAGGGTGAAACCCAAACCCAGTCCTGGACTTTTCCCAGCTAAAATTGCTCTTTAATCAAATGAAAATTTCCCCCTGCATTATTGCGATTCTGGGGGTTTTTAATTCTCCTCATTTAAATTTTTTTGGAAATCCTGGCCTTTTTTTTAAGGGTTTGTCTGTCTTTTTTTCAAATTTTTTCCTACTTCTTTCTTTATTTATGGAGCGGGGGGGGGAATAATAAAATTTATAAAATTTAAATAAACAATTATAAATTCTTTAAAAACATTTGGGCTATACTTTATTTTGAAAAACAAAAAATCCCCTTTTGGGGTCCCCCTTTTTTTTCTCTATATATTCCTAAATTTTTTTTTTTCTCTGAGCCCCATTAAATATTTTCCTGGCCTATCCCCCCCAACTGAAATCTCTCATTTATAAATTTTTATTGAACCTTTTTATCTTTTCCCCAGAAATGTTTTTAAAATTCCTCTCTTTTATTTTTTAAACCCTCTGCATAATCTTTTTTTGTTATTTTTATAAATTATGAAATTTCTCTAACCCACAGATTTACTAAAAGCTGTTTTTTTTTTTCTTTTCTTCCCTTTTCTTTTTTGCTCCAAATTTCACTACCGGGTTTCCGCAATTTAAAAGGGGCCCCTTATACCTCCCACACTGTTGCGGGGCCCATTTCCCCCAAGAATAAATTTTCCCCCATAAAATTACTCAAAATTTTCTTTTTTTTTTCTTTTGATCCCCTGGGAACCGGGGGAGAAAGGGGCAATTTTAAACCCTTTTCTTAATTTCCCCCCGATCTGCTCTTTTTCCCCCAAAATAATTGAAATTGTGACAGGACAAGTTCGAAAATTTTTGGACATCACTTCCCCTTTTTTTATTTTGTTTTTAAAAACCCTCGAAAAGGGCCCAAAGGTCCAGCAATATTAATCCAGTCTTGAATAAAATCCATGGGGCATGAAATAAAATTTAAGTCTCTGCCCTTCATTTTCTTAATTCTCCATATATCAAAAAACCCGGACATTGTGTCAAGGCCTCCCCTTTTTCCCAGAGGTTAGGTTTTACCCCATGTGCAGCATCCACTTGGATTTCTGCTGGGGCATGGGGGGAATTTTTTAAAAACCCTTCAGGTCTTTTGAGGTCCACCCCCCCAAAAGGGGTTGGCGGATTCCATATAAGCCGGGATCGGGGGAAACATGCTTTTTGCACTTGTGTCCTTTGTGCCCCTTTGTCTTCCCTACAGCTCGGGGGATAACCGTAAACTCTTCTGGTTTTCTGACCCCGGTTGTGACTAAGCCCAAATTCCCGGGGTGTTTTCCCCTTTAAATCTGACCTTCCGTGCTAAACCCCCCGGCCCCCAAAACCTTGATTCTCTGCCCTACTTTTTCTGAAATTTTTTGCCCCGGGTTGTTATTGACCCGTTTTTGTCACAAAGCTATTGTCATTTTTTCCACCACTAAAAACCCTTTGGGCGGGGCCCCATTACCACAGCTGGGGGGGTCCGGGGGCCCCCAACCGGGGCCCCCTGGTTTTTCCCCGTCAATTCACCCCCAAACCATCAGGGGCCCTGGTAAAGGGGAAAGCCTGGGACTTAGACCCCCGCGCCCTGGGGGACTTCAGTCTGT